GAGACTACCGGCGAGGGATCATCCCGACTGAATTTGGGGACGTGTTGATCGTCATCTACCCCATGAAGAACCATATGTATTCCATTCAAATCCTCAAGAAGCCAGAGGTAAACATGATCAAAGCAATCAATGTTGGTCTTTTCTCAGCGTTCTTGGATTGCTCAAAAGACTGTAGGTCATATCAACCTATCCTTGAAATCCGGTGATAATAATTAGCGTCCCATTGTTCTAATCAGGAAGAACTAGACATGCAACCTTTTGCTGAGCTGTAATTGTTGAAGAAAAAAATCATTGCCCAATCAGAGTAATTGAGAAAGGGGTCTGCGGATATTACCTCTGTTATATCTTGTATACCCCTGTTAGAGCTGTAGGAACATTTCTAAGCCCTGACAGGCTTCTATGGGTTAATTATTGAAAGTCCAAATTCATTTGGACCAAAGGAGCTGGGGGCCCAGAGAAAAAAATAGCCTCTGAGACACACCATCTTTAAAGTACTAAATACTTTCAGAATTTTTTAGTTTTATTTGGTAGGTGCCTCTCAAAACTACACAGATGGATTGTTATAAGCAGACTTCTATTAACCAACTCCCTTATCAGTTTGATTTCTAGGGAACTATTTGAGTTATTAAGAAGTGGAAGGCAGTGGGAATTGTAACTCACTTCCAATATAAGCACTACTTTTATACGTTTGGTTCGATAGAAATTTGCAGGTAAAATACTCTGCAGGCTATAGATACCTTTTGATGTGTTTCACATCTTTGTACATTACAACGAGACCTCTGTGGATTTAATTTAGGTTTTGAGTAAATGGCCAAATTATGACGATTATAAAGCAAAAGAAAGTAGCAAAATAGATTTCTAACTTGCATATAAATCTCTAGAAAGTGTCTTTGGGTTTTTTTTCCTCACCTTTTACTTTAGAACCACATAATAAAATCCACCACAACTGGTTGAAAACTGAATTCCAACAGCCTTAGCCAGACTCCTTCAGATATGCTAAAAACAAACTCTATAGAAGATCCTTCCTTTTCTCAGCTTTCACCATCTATGTGATTCTTTAATTCTTTCACAAGTCAGAGTGTGCTATTCAAAGTCCAAATCTAAATTCCACTTAGAATCCATGCAAAGCCAATAGAGGTAAAACAGCGATCCTCAACCCTGGTCTTCAGGACCAACTGTCCTGAACATTTTTGCTGTCTTTGCTCAAACAAACTAAAATCAAATACTTGCTGTACCTCCTCAGTATTCATCAAGGGCTAAAGATCCTGTTATCCTCCTACTTGATATAGTCAGATATGAGGATGCAGGAAAACCTTTAAAACCCTCAGGTCAGTTGGTACTGAGGAGCAGGAATTGGAACCCCTGCCTTTAACAACTATTTATAGCAAAAAGTTTTTCTACAAATTATGCATTAAAAGAGACTATATACACGCCACACTTAAAAATCAAAATTTTCTTTTCTCCATTAAAAAAGTGCACTGCTTTGTGTTTTTCTGTCATAAAAATCTCAGCAACATACAACAAAGGTTGAGGTTGTAATGTTTCACAATGTAAAAAAGTTGCAAGGAGTGTAAATGTATTTGCATTTATATTATACTTACATTGATTATTAGATATTTAAATGGTAGCAAAGCCTGGATGTCAAAATAGATTTCTATTTATTGAGATAAAACTATTGAATTCGTTAATGTTCTGTTGTAGTGCTGTATTCTATATTTCTTGCTTTACATTGTAAAGATCATAAGACTTTTAAAGTTGATTAGGAGTTAGACTGTAAATGTGCAGGGCTTTCATGCTTGAATTGATGTTTTTTTCTCCCTTAGATTACACAGATATGCTTTCATCTGGTTAATGTATCAGCCTAAAACCCACAGACATTAATGCCGCAGCACTGATCGCATAACTCTATTTCAAACAAGAGCAAACACAATAAAAAGCATTCTTTTTTTTCTGTATGACATGGATACCACAGCACTAATGACATAATCATATTCTCCTTCATTCATTCTGCAAGCAAAAATATTGAATTATCCTGAATCCAAGAAGAAGTAAGATAAGATATGGCTTCTGTTGTTGTCCTGAAAGCACATATATTCAGCCACAGCGGGGCTTGGCTTTGAGACCTGGTCCTCAAACAAACCCAATAAAAGCTTGACGTTATTCTCTTTGGTGGATTCCACAAGCAAAGGATTGAATTAAATCAGAAAAGCCATTGCCTGAATCAAATATCGTATCATTATAAAAATCTGTTGTCAGTCATTATTTGCCTGGTAGCCTGCAGATTGTATTCTATTTCATAACATTTGGGTGGTTTTGTCTTTTTAGTTTTTCTTCCTTTCCCTGTTTTTGTTGACGTATGTTCTTATCTTCAGGTGCCGTTCTTTGGGCCGCTGTTTGATGGTGCCATAGTTGACATGAAGATTTTATCCACCATGGTCAGAGCTACAGCTATCAATGCAAGTCGAGCTCTCAAATCCCTCATTCCTCTCTACCAGAACTTGTATCCTTTGAAAATTGAAAAGCCAAAGGTAGGTCTCTGAGACTGAGATTTCCTCTAAGCACCGCTATGTTTCAGCAGGGGGCTGTAGTTGTATAGATTTGATTCTCAGTCATTTCAGATTTTCCCCCATGAGTGTAATATTCCACTTCAAATACGATCTTCGTTTTGATTTCAGCTCCACAGATATTGGAAAGAAAAATACTATTTAGTTGTCCCAGGTAAAACGCATGCCTTCTGTGAGCCTGATGAATAACTACAGTAGTTTTTCCACTGTTAATGTAACCAGTAGTCAATAAAAACTTCACACTGTTCAGATTCTAAGCTCCAGTTTTAACTTGGTTTGTTCACTGCTTATATCTACTGTATTTTCAGACTCTTAGCTTGTCATTCTGGCAAAATCTGCATTCAGCCAAGTGCTCAGTGCTCAAGGAAACCACATTTTGGGAGAAAGATTTTGCGGAATATATGATTACTCTGATAACCATTAAATGGAGAAAAGATGAGTTGCTGTGTCAAGAGGAGGTTTTTAAAATTATGAAATCATAGAACAATTTATGTTCAGTTACTAAAAGAAAAAAAGTTAGAAGACTTCCTTTTACACTTTGCGTTGTGAGTGAAAATGTTGTTTGATTCTTTGCTTGAGGAGTAGAAGTTGAGGATCGATGTCCAGTGGGGTTTGGTTCTGTGATAGAGCTCTATTGAGTCTGATGTTTTTTTGTTTTGTTTTTTATTGTTGTGCACAGGAAGGTTAGGCTGGTCTGTGTGGTGCTGCGTGTCTCTGAGTGTGAAGGAGGAAGAGGGAAACGGCCGAGTGCGTGTACAGTTTGCCTGATCTGATGTGATGGTAGCTCGGTTTGAAGAAGCCAGAAGTCGATACTTATTGATGAATGTCCTCTGTAGCTCAGTTTCTAAATGAGAGGCTTCGCTCTGCACTCTCAAAGACAGACATGCACACACATACACCTCCACACATCTGGCCATGTTTTGCACATACTGATAATTACACTCACAATGTTCGAAACACTACTGAGGTGAAATAATGTATCCAATAAGCGCGTCCGCAGCTAGCTGTTTCAATGGATGTACTTTCAAAAACTCTCCCTGTGTTTATATGGTTAAAAGCTCCTTTTAACTGCAGTTCCAGCAATTTAATCTCAGCAAAATGCTCCCCATGTGTCTTCCTGTCCATCTCCATGACAACGTTTGATAACTTTTTAAACTAAAATGTTAAGTTGTTTGAGTTCTGCTTAAAATTTACAACCAGGCAAGCATTACAATGATATAACCAGAAAATGTTCCCTGTCGACTTTCAGTGGAGTTTATATGAATATTTTTTCTCTTTTAGTAGTTTACTTTTAATAATTGATTCAGTAAATCAACTATAAATCGATTCATAATCAATTTGAAATGTGAAATTATTATTGATTAATCATATAGAACTAGTTGTTCCTGTTTAATTTGATAAGTGATTTACATTCTTAGAAATAATAAAATATCAGACGAGAGTTAAAATATATAAGACATTTTAGCCTTCTAAAAATATGTGTCTGGGCTCCTCTTCCATGAATCAGTGTATCAATGTGGTTTGGTATGGAGGTTATCAGCCTCCAGCGCTGCTGAGATTTTCAGGAAGCCCTAGTTGCTCTAACAGCTTATCTTCGTTGTTGGATCTCTTGTATTCCTCTCGAAATAACTGCATTGATTTTCTATGGAGTTGGCTAGCTAGTCAATCACAGCTATGCCATGGTGATTAAACCAGGTATTGGTATTTTTGACAGTGTGAACAGGTGTTAAGCAGTCTGCCAAAAAAAGAAATCAGGATTTAGGTTTAGCCTGTCAGAATGAGGAAGCATGAAGGTCTTTAAAATGTCTTGGTGGACCGATGCACTGAGTTTAGAGCTGAAACACAGCGGACTACGCCAGCAGTTGGACTTGCTGATAAATCGACTCTACATGACTTAAGAAGGTTTGATTTTATGTCTGGACCTTGATTTGTCAGCGAGATATTCTTGTAGATAAAAAGCAGACTTTTAACCACAAGCAGTAATGCCTTTTCTGACCTCGCCTCTAGTTCAGAAGAGGTTTAAAATATTTATAGAGAAGGTTGAATCCAACATCCTCAATATTTCAGACTCTAGCCACAATAATCATTTTTCCTTCTAAACCTTTTTTCCACCACACTCCTTCCAACTTTCCATTAAAGTAGTTGCATTCAGCACTCTGGGACTGGAGTGTTTAACTCTTATTGAGGAGGGAGGCGATGTTTGTGAAGTCAGCCATCGTCTCCATGACTGAGGCCTTTGGCAAACAGGCTTATATTAGATTGTTGCATACAAGCCAGAATTAGATGCATTTCTTTCACCTTTTTCCAGTGTACATTTTAAAGTATTGCATCAGAAGAGCTTAAGAGAAATGTCAAAGTTCAACAAAAAAAAAATGTAATTCACAAACAAGTTTTTATGCTCACTTAAGGTGGTTTTTGGCTTTCTTAAAAAGGTTCATGTTCAAAATGGGAGATGAAAACATTTTGATTCAGCTCTGATGTAGCAAACTTTTACTTGCATGACTGATCAGCTGTTTCTGCTGTCGGCCTGATGTTCCTATTATGCACATAAACATGGCTGTAAGCAACATTGCTATTACTAGCTGACATGTTAGACATTAGAACAGCTTGTAACACATTCATTAAAACTTTTCTCCATTACTGATGTGTGGTCAGTACTAGATTGCAGCCTCTACTTCCTGTTTATTACAGCATTGCATGACGATGTAATATGGACGACGATGTGTGACGACATTGCTCTTTGCGGCGACTAAAGAGACACTTTTCATGTTACTTCTCTACCCTTTTCTCCCATTTCACTTTGGTCATTTCCTCCTTATTCTTTCTGTCTTGTTTTACTTTTCTTTGTTTTTCTAAATGAACTAATTCGACTAAGGATAGGGTAGTTTAAAATAATCGTTTTCCAGTTCAATTCCACCTTTGTTTGCATGTTTAACTTCTGTTTTCTTTTTGCTTGTGTGACTCTCTTTCACTCTGCAGACATTTGTGCACCTTTGTGTTTTTTTGTCTTAGATCGGATTTACAGCCTGCGTGCTTACATGTGTACGTCTGTCTGCATGTGTCTTGTATTCCTGAGTGTTTGTGTGCGAATTGGTGAGAGTCCCAGTGTGTATTGATCGGTGGTAAGCAGCAGGTCGATGTCTCTGACAGGCTGAATTACAGTAATCAGTCATTATTGACTCCCCATGTCTCTGCTACGCTCACTGCTCTCCTCTCACCACTTGTCGGCTTCTTTTTGTTTCTTTTTATTCCTCGACCCCCTGAAACTCTTTCTGCTTTTACATCCCTTCTTATCCATCCCAACGTTCCTCCTTTTTTTTTTTTATGTTTTTCAGGCCTGTACCAACTCCTGTATTTATCTCTAAGTTGAGGGAAAGTTGTCATGATGTAAGTCATATCAAATCAGATTCATTCTGTGGTAACTGGAAACGAGCAGGTTTTAGTCTAACTCAGACACTTTTATCTAGTCTTTTTATTTCACTAAATCATCTAGCAAATCCTTGCAGTAATAGTAATTTGCATTGATAAGTGTACATAGATTTTAATTGAAAACAGAGGTTGTGTGTGGACACCTCTAAATTGACCCTTCACCTGGAGCTGTTTGTTTTGAATGACTTTAGAAACTTAAATTCCTGCTCTTGGTGTTCCAGTTTTTAAACAAGTAGCGTTTCCACAACCTTCCCAGTTTTTTTTTTCAAAGCTATTTCTTTGACAGCAGGTCTAAAAGATTATTATCAAGACAAATTAATGAATCTCTCATTTAGTCTGAAAAACAATCGTTTTCAATCTATTAAAAATAAATGCAGCCTCATCCATGAGATGGTTAAATATTACTGTAGTGAAGCATCTTTATGAGGTTTATCTGGAGATGTATGCAAAAGTGGTAAAATCAATGTAACTCTGCCTGTGATTTCACATTACCTGAGGTCTGCTCATGATTGGCTGACTACTTCCTCAAAAGCACTTTTTCAGCCAGTCCCACCCATTCAATTCTTCAGCCTTCCTTCTATTCATCTTTCCCTGTTTGTTCATCTATCTGTTACTCCATCCTTTACCTCCATTCCTCTATTCATCCTATCATCTGGCGAGTCATCCATCAGGATCTCAAATTTCACCATCAGAGAAATATATAGAAATTGGTTTTTGCCAAGTATCTTTAGTTCTTAGAAATTAGACGACAATCATAATGTTGAATTCTGACGTTAATGATCTGTAGAAACTTATTGTTGAATATGTTAATATTAAAGGTATAGTGGAGAATGTTCTTTTTCAGGGTGGATCAAAATGAGTGGTCCTCCTAATTGTCAATCATTCTGGTGATATGTTTACGTAAGGCCGTCCTACCTGTTCGTCCCAATTTAATTCGCCAATGGTGAGTCTGACATAGAAAAGTTGTTATTCTTCTTTTGTAAAGTAAGGTTGTATGAGCGATGCAAACAGCAACATGTGCAATTGCAGCAACAATTGCATGTGCAATTATTTTTTTTAAAATTCGTGATAATCTTCCACTATACCTTTAAGACATATTAACAATTAAAAATACTAAAACCAATGTACTAATTCTAAGTTGTGGTTTTGTGTTATGTTTCAATTCTTCAAACATTTCCATTAGGGCGACAGTGGCGTTGGATGTAGGAGTTTGCCCTGAAATCGGAGGGTTGACGGTTCAAGCCCCGACTCCGACTTTCAGTGTCGTTGTGTCCTTGGGCAAGACACTTCACCTGCATTGTCTAATGATGGTGGTCAGAGGGGCCGGTGGCGCCAGTGTACGGCAGCCCCGCTTCTGTCAGTGAGCCCCAGGGCAGCTGTGGCTACAATGTAGCTTGCCACTATCAGTGTGTGAGTGTGTGTGTGAATAGGTGAATGAATGTAGTGTAAAGCGCCTTGGTCAAGTCTCCTAACTTGAATAAAGGCGCTATATGCCATTTACCATTAG